TTGAACATTTAATTTAACACATTTGAGCACGATTTTGCGATCAACATTCATTGAGTCTTCATACCAAATCATGGGAATAAGCATTGAAATTTTTGAAAATTCCACTTATAATGTAGTTTTCCGATTCTGTTGTGTTGTTTGTAATTGCAATATTTCGTCCCTGAGGCCGATTACCAGATTTCTGGACTCGTCGATTAAGGCCGGACTGAAATTTCCATAATTGCTCAGACGTCGTTGAGCTACCGTCAGATAAATAACTCACTACAGAAGAAGTACACAGTGTATTTCCGGGTGGAAAAACTCACAATAAGGGCCGGCGGAGGTGCAGCCGTTGGTGTTGTCACCAAATGTATGGATATGGAGGCCACGCTCGGCATTGGGCTGGTTACCAGTGATATTGTAAGAGATCTTGGTAGGTGCCAATTCAGGCTCCTGCTCGAAAATGATGGTGCCGCCGATATATACATCCCCACGAAGAACGCAGACTACTATACGTAAGCTAACATATTATTTGATATTGTCGATGTGGGTGTTACTAGTATAAGCTACATAGCGTCTAGGGAGAAAGGGAGCCTAAGTACAAGATTCGGTAACCAGACATACTTGTTTCGAGAAGCAGGAAAGGGAGTAGGAGTTGTGTTGATTTCTCGTACGTAAAGAGTAGATAGCAGATGGAAGGCCAAAGGGAATGGCGAGTATTATATTTAACCACCAAAAACCAAGCTCTTCGCCACTTTTTTCACCTCTTCCAACAGGCGCTCTTTTTAGTAAATTCCACTTTATGATTGGCATAAGGCGCACAAATAACTACACACCGCTAGTAATCATCGTAAAGCCAGGCCTTTACATACCTCCACTTTGCCGTTCTGCGGGCAGCGACCTGATTCGCCTGTATTTGTGCTTTTCAGCCCCCCCCCACCACATCCTTTTAACTATTTATAGGCGTGCTACGGCTTAATAAGCGGTGTAGATGCACTTGAAGGCCCCAATAGCTAAACTTAATACATTGGACCACACTCCGAATAGATAGATTATAGCATCCTCGTAAAGGTGCACACAAATAATCATCTCACAAATATAAAGAAACCTTATCGCTTATAGGATATATACCTTATGATCTCCTATTACGGACCCCTGCAACATATCAGGGGTATACATAAGGCATACACGCAAAGCGGAGGACACGGACCCACATAGCGCATCTGGGTTCCACTGAACGCAAGGAAGCTATCTTTCTCTTGCTTCCTCGCACTAGATCTTATATCTAGAGTCGACTATAGCTTTCTTTAATAATGATTATTTCATCCGAAAAACACGCTCCTCATCAACAGATACGTAAGACCCTCATAGGGTATTACTGATGGGCTATCCAGTTACAGTAGATATAATAATAGGCTCAGGCTCCCAGGAGCTCATAGCCACATTTAGACCAATCATTTCTACTGAGGCTTTGTGGCACTTGTGGGTCATTCATGGCACCGATTGGCTAATTATTTCTCTGCTCTCTTAGTGGTATCCAATGATCGTATCAATATTTACGACACATAGGCTCCTGGGAACCAAGGCCATATATTAACCAATCATTTCAAAGAAGACTTATAAGCATATAGGCTGCTAATAGCACTACCTGGCTCATTTATCCTTGCAGTAGTGACCACTTTCCCACGTCCACTTAGCTCCCAGGAGATCGATAGGTATTGCTATGTACACAGAAGAGGTCGAAAGCAGAAATGATTGTTCTGCGAAAACGTCATCGATCTAGTGACTCACTGACTATACAATTAGCTCTTTCGTGAGATGTGGGCTGTACGAATCAGTACCACACTGTACCACAGCTTTTGTCAGCTTGATATTACGTAGGCATAATATATTTCTCCGATATACGAGTTAGGCAATAAATAATCCTGCGGTTTGGCTGGTATGGAGCTCGGTCGCATTATAACATAGTATTTGCCTGTCTTTGATAAGGTATTCGTTGCGTAGAGTAATGGGCTCATCACTGGTGAGTGAAATGAAATGACATAACCTCGTCGCCTCAACCGTCGCATTAAAGGCGGACTCACGGTGGTAAATAGTGATAACCGTCGTCGGTTCTTTTCTGCGGCATCCTCATGACTGTTGAAACAATGCCACAGCCAGAAAATATTTTTCAAGTTCTTGATCACCAGGAACAAAATACAATATATCTAAGAGCTCCTTTAAATCAATAATGAAATATTAAGCCAGTTATCATTGAAGAGTAGTTTTTGTTTAAGCCCTCACAATTCATAATAATAATCTCATTGACGCAGGATAAATACCTGGTTAAATTGCTATAAATACCCGTCCCATCACCAGCAGAACTATCGTTCGCAAGCATTCCTTTATCACTCTAGGTAAAAGAATATCGATCAATTCTCATTTCCGTAGCTACTATTTGGTACGTTGGCTTCAAAACCGTACAACAAAATTGACTGACTTGTTGCATCGCACTAGCCTGGTTTTCTCGACACAAGAGGTCTTCAAACAGCAAGTAAGTGTAGCTGCCCAGTCATTTGGAATCATACTAACATAGAAAATGCTCGGTATCAGCCCTACCTCCGCTATTTCTCTGAAAAGCCATTAAACGAATTTTCAGGATCTAGATCTGGAATGGTCCAAGCTACGAGTATAGTAAGTTACAAGTTGCCTTCATAGGCTATCGGCTAATGATTGAAGATAATTAGGTGCCATCTTTTATACAGTCCCCTGCAGTGGACAGCAATAACTGACAACGTAGGTTCAAAGACTACAGCAACTTTTAAGGCAGATATAATATACTGACAACCCTCTATATAGGATAGCGAACTTTCTATCGCGAGTCACTCAATGTCTTGTAAGTCACACTAGTGCTTTGCCCCTACCCATTCTCAACACCCGGTACTGCATTTCAATCTTCGTACGAATGCTATCCGTTCGTAGCTGTCTGTTCCTCAGAAAATATCGCTTATGATTCCTTTTCGTTATAGGGCAAGCTTCAATTTTACACTCAACCTGACCGAGCTATATCCCCCCTCATCCTCGAAACTAACCCAGCTGCAACAACCTAGTGGGCCAAGCCACTGAATATTACTACACTTGTGCCTTTATTGTCTCTGAAGACGTGGTTGACACAGCCACTTCACCTAGCATATTAGCGGGCTAAGGCAGAAAGCCTTGATGCCCTCTGCTTAGCCATACCGTAAAATTCCAGAGTGTTTTCATTTCGTCTCTTCAGCATTGCCCTGTCCGAACAAAGGTTGACCGTCAATACATTAGTTTTTGGCAATATTTCGACGGCTATAAATATCCTGCCCACATCCAATCCGAAGGCTTATCGGTAGCCATAAACCAGCCTCACTGTTAATCGAGCGAGTCATCAGAGCATCTGCGACAACGAGAAGAGGCCGAGACCTGACGGTCGCGGAAAAAAAACAACTAATTCCCCGTTGAGCATCAATCAGCAGACTGAATCGAACTATTAGCAATAGTCTCAAGGTCAATTATTTCAACCGCTGATTACAGCTGAGCAAGCGCTAGGACAGCCCATGCTTAGATTCACCATAGATTCCTCGCCGCAAGAGCAGCCATTTTGAGGCCAGGTCGAAGTTTGTCGCAAACAAAATACCACGAAACTCTCGTCCAGTGTTACTTTACCCTTACATAGTTGAAGATCTGCCCAGAATCGTACATTGGCAGGTACAGCTACATCCATTCCCTGTGAAACAATATAATCCCAGGCCCTCCACGTATGGTCGAGATAAGCCCGCTACCTCATCCCTGGTTTTCTATACTAATGCCAGGCTGCATCACGGCAAGTTTATACCACCCTCAGTCAACAGAAATTATATTAACATAGAGTTTAGTAAAACCCAGTCCTAATCCAGCCGTTCGGGTGAGTCCGATCGAGAAAGTACATTATAGCCGGCCGGGGACCTCGTCTAGGCCACGAACAAGGTAAGTTGCGAGCGACCATATTGCACCAGCTACTGATAGTTGGTACTAGATTGAATATATACAGCGACAAAGTGCCTTGCCTGTGTTCTAATGCAGACGGTCATTTAAAGCTGCCACCATGGCTTATTTACGACTGATCCTAGTAAGTACAGTACATTCTCATAGATCGAATATTTCAGAAGTCGACTAACTAAAGTCAGGTCACTAGAACCTGATACTATGCTCAATACAACCGCAAGTCGACCAAATACATCCTTAATATCACCACTGAGGGGCACGGACTCGCCGGCAGAAGTAGCCTCGCCAGGCCGGCCAGTTAATTGCCTAGACGGTCACAAAGGCCCAATTCTTATTTGAAAGATACAGGTCGGTTTATAATATATGGTAAAGAAGACAAACTCATTGACATCGAACGTAGCCACTAATATTAATCTCAGTGTAGGCGTAGCACGTGTGTTTTACACAACACACAAGTGCACCCAGCCCTTTACCCCTCGTACCGTAGCATACATCTAGTACAGCAGGTCCTCGATAGCCATCAATTTCACTACCGCCGGTTACTAACTCTGGCAGGAACGTCAATCGAGTTCGCAAATATGGTTTAGCCATTCTCAATTGCAAAGGGTAAAAATTAATCCGCAGAGCGAAAACTCGGGAAATAATCCGGGAAACACAAAGCGGACTCTGAGTTCGCGCGGACAAAGGCAGGCTCCCTCAAATAATGTACCCTGCGTAAGTCGAACCTATGCAAATAAGAATAGGGCTGTTGCGAATATTCGAAACCACCGATATTATCGGATATCCACGGACATCCTCAGCTATCCTCAGGTGTTGATTTTCAGAGAAACGAAATCACCAAGTCCGCAAAATCCGCAAAATCCGAACTTCCGACTAGGGCTTCTTCATATTTTTATAAGAAAATATAGTGTAAAAAGTTGATATATTATACAGATCATCAATATATCCACTTCAAACTTGATCAAGAAGAGTAGCGACAGATTGAATATCTACTTCTTCTCACAAAGCCTTTCTTTGACTTCACCACTATGCTATCAAAGACTAGGGATGTTACTGCACATAACATCTATAGTATTTATAACAAGCTTTTCTCTTATCTTGATGAAGTTGAGAGCAAGTTAAAGAATAAAGGAGTTATCTGGAAGAAGGACATGCTCCAGGCTCTCCGGACTGCAAAAAGGAAGCTCTCAAAGTATTATACTACTACTGATTATAAACCATATAGGGATATCTATGCACTTGCAATGATCCTTTGCCCATCAAAAAAACTTCGATATTTTACATCAACAGACTGGCAAGGTAAAATTGACTATATCATGGAGTTCCCAAGCAAGAGTTTCATCGATACAAAGAGATACTTCGACATAATTCAGATACTGCAGTCTTGCAAGATACCACTAGAGAGAACCCAGATGATGATTCTTGTAATCTAGATGCCGCTTGTACTTCTCAGAACCAACCACAGAATAAGCTCTCAAAGCCTAAAAATGATGAGATTGCAAGGTATCTTGCCCGAGGTATTGAGAGACAGAAGCCCCGAGCATTCTGGAAAGAGCATAAGCATGAGTTTCCCATTCTTACAAGGATAGCACGGGATATTCTCTCAATCCTAGCTAGTGGTGCAGGCGTTGAGCGATTATTCAATTACGCTCGCGATATCTGCTACTATCGCCGTGGCCAATTGAAACCAAGTATAATCCGAGAACTAATGCTTCATCAGTTCACCACCAACTTTAAGATTGAGCAGAAAGAGATAGAGGTTATCAAGGAGCATCTTTCTGTTGGAGAAGCTGCATTGTTGGATCAAGCTCAGAAACCAATACCCCAGCTTGAAACTCTTGAACCAATTAGTGACAATAAAGAGGAAGATCAAGAGCCTGGAATCGAGGATATGCCACAGATAGAAAGCTGCGATGATGATTCAGACGGTGGGAAGACTGATCAGAGTAATCAACTACAGTGTAAACGATCAAGGAAACAATTATCTGAGGCAGTTGATGACGACGACGATGGCCTTCCAGAAATACCAATATATAAGGGCACACAAGGACGGTCAGGGCGGATTCGGAAGCAACCAAGGTTACCTGATGGATTTCAGATTGATTTAAGATAGTCAATGTAGAAGGTAGAATGGAAATAATAAAACTATGTCTAAAAATTGAAAACTTCAATAATGAAATATTACTTTGTGGTTACTTAAAAAATACAAAGGAATCCGCATAAATAATGTACGCTCAAAAAAGTCACGAGGCTGGGCATATTTGGCCTGTTTCATATCCGCTGGATATCCTCAAATATCCAGAGAATATTGGGTGGAATATCATATCCACAAATTTGAGGATTGAGGATATTAGTTGACATACCATATCCGCAATTTGCGGAGAGGATTTGTGGATATCCATGGATATTGAGGATGTTACCGCAGTCTAATCACAGGAGCCCTTGTCATCATGAGGTTTCCGATTGACTATACCCTGCAAATCCTTTCCTGCAAATCCCATTAGTGACATTCGTAGATGGCCCACAGGTAGACCACAGGCTATATTCGAAAACAGGGATCATCCACCTCTTGTACTACAAAATAATCGGCTTGACCACTACTCGCTGAGAAACTCTTTCATAGCCCACTGCCAAGATATTAGCGCAGATCATTTATTTAGACCTCACGAAGATAAGGGCCCGCGGTAAAATGTTCTGTATCTAATACCATCACAATCATTCACCGCCCTATATTCAAAGCAGGTGAAGCGATTTACCGAAAGGGATACAATACCATACACAGAGCGTTGAACAACAGCCCTCAACTTACTGATGCCCCTTCCATTGATAATCTTCGCTAATGCCTTGGTATTGGGGCGGGACAAGAGGTTATAAGTGTGTACTTGTCAAGGTGAGTTCGAGAATGCCTATATATATACGACTTGAAATACTACTCTTGTCCCGACCAAGGGAGATTTGCAGTATAGAATGTTTGCGAGTAGCGTTGATGCCCATAAGATATCAATTTGGTTGGAGGGGACATCTGAAAAACACGCGATCCTAAGTCATCTGCTTGCTTGCCTGCTTAACAAGATATAGGACGCCCCTAAGGCAATATTTGAGTGGATATATTTGATCATAAGACGGAAAAAAAAGAGATCAATTTTGAAAATAAGCACTTTAGCGCTCCCGCCTTGATGGTTGTGTCACACGAAACCTTTTAATGGGAAGACATCCCCGCCTAGCATGCTAATCCTCGTGTGTGGCTGCGTATTGCTGGAGGCTACAGAAAATATGACCCTAAAACTGTAAGACACAGCTAGCGAACCAACAATAACCAAGTAGTTTAACAGTGATGTCGGAAAAGTGACGTCATTGTACCAACACACATATGACATCTGCGAATATTCAGTCCTGAGGAGATAGCGCATTAATAGATTAGTTTGCTGGAGGTAAACGTCATTTACTTAACACGAAAATAAGTATAATACTTCTTTATATTGCTAGTATCCTTATAAATCTCACAATATAGATAAACAGCAACCTTATATAATATAATCCTGATTGGTTATAGCACAACATACTTGCTGTTAGATCTGGCGACCCTAAAGCTTCAGAACGCGCAGCAGGTGGAATACAATAGTGTTGCATCGTAGGGTAGAAATCAAGTAACAAAATAAAGAACTCATTCAGTTTTCGGTGTTATGAGACATAACAGCAATATAGATAATAATACAATTCCTCCAATATTTACACACACACACACACAATTCATTAACGCCCGGCGGCGAAGCCGAAAGGGCAACTATCACTATTTTATCAATACATGTCCCTAGTATATGCCGTGTCTCCTTGCAGCCCATACATGGTTACTTTCTGTATATGTCATCTCAACTGTCATTATCGTGGTGGATCCTCGCGGGATAGTAATTTTGTTAGTAGGCTGGCTTGAAGGCGCTTCTTCAAGTGTTCAACATCCTATTCTCGGCAGTTGAAGCGCGTCTACCGTCTCTGGCACGAGGTGGTGGGTGGGGGTTAGTTCGGGGGGGAGGGGTTCGTTTATGTTGGTCGACATGGCTAAGTGGCGTCCAGTCGGCCCGTGGCGATTGCAAACCGTATTGAGGCTCGCACTGCTTCTAGATTCGGTGTCCAGTTCTGATCATCTGACGGCGACTTTCCGCCCAGGAAGAAGGATATATTCCCTCGGTGAGCATGGGTACATTGCAGCATTCCCGTCCGGTGTGCGGTCCACTTCCGACATCGAAAGAGGAAGTGTTCCACGGTCTCTCTTGCTTGTCCACATGCACATTGATCTGTCTCGGCGACGCTGATTCGGTAAAGATATCCGTTGAGTCTTGCCATGCCAGTCCGGAGTTGGGCCAGCACGCTTGCTTCTTTCCACGATAATTGATCATACAGCTGCCGGGTGTGTTTCCCTGGGAGTGCTGCATCTACTCGTTTGGAATGTCGCCCTATGTTCTCTGGCAAGCCTTTGCTGGTGACTGCTTGGGACCGTGCGATGTTCAGGGTGGTTGACTTCATTCTGTGGACCTGTGCTTGAGGGGTAGCATCCTCTTGTGTCGCGGCTCTGGCCTGCTCTTTCGCCAGGCTCAACAATTGGTTATGCTCGCTGGTCGGAACCCAGCGGATGTCCATTCGGTTTTCGTGTCTCCGTAGTCTTTGGGTCAACTTGTATATCTGGCAGATGTGTTCCTGGCCTGACTGCTGTCGAGGATTCCTCAGTGTGAGTCCCGCCGCTTTGTTGCTGGTGAGCAGCGTGACCCTGCACCGTTTCAGTCCCTGTAGCGTACCCAGTGCGTATGCCATTGCTGCCAATTCGCCGGAGTATGGGTTCTGCTCTGCTCTTGCGCCCAGTGTGACAGAGAAGGTCTTCAGCCTCGGCTTACGATACCGAGGTGGCTGCTTCTCGATCGCCACGCCGAATCCTACCTTCTCATTTCGTGCTGAACTGCTGACCGCAATGCGCATGACTCCGCCCGTTTCGGTCTGTGTCTCTGATGAATCCTGTCTATCGCCGTGTATACGTTCCTCCCATGGCGCTAATGTAAATGGATTGATAGTTTCCAGTGATTCCATCTCGATGCTCTTCAGCGCGTCTGCGACCTGATACAATGGCGACCGGTGGTATCTTCTGAATTTTCTGATCTGAGCTGTACTCCTGCGGAGGAGATTGGTTGCTGGTAGGGTGTGAATGTCCGTCCACATCTTCACGGCTCGTCTCCAGAACCGATGTCGTGCAGTGGCAATGTGAGCCTCGGCCTCCGCCACGCTGGTCGCAACGGTGAGGAACGTTCCTACAATCGCCTGCGCTCCGACTCGTTGAACCCGGTTGATCGGCCCGATATTCTTGTTCTTGAAAGCGTGCATCCAGACATTGGAGGCGTAGTCCACCACCGGGGCCACGGTGGCTGTGAAGAGCTGCCGCGCTGTCGCTGGGGACAGACCTCGGAGTCGTCGAAGCTCCATCGCTGCCTCTAGGCCTTTGGACGCCGCTCTCGCGACATGTTCCTTGTATTTGAGTCTTGTATCCATTATCACGCCAAGAATCTTAACATGGTCTTTAGGTTCAACGGTCTCTCCCTTAATGATGAATGGCTCCGGGTCCGATTTGTGGGCCTTGGGGGCGAAGTGTATAATGGCAGTTTTCTCTGCTTCAAAGGTCGCTCCACTTCTCTTTTCCCAGTCGAGTGCTTCATTGACGATCGCTTCAATACCATTCCGGTTGCTCTGCGCAGTCGGTCCGGTCACCCACGCGGTAAAGTCATCCACGAAGGCAATCGCTCCTCCTTGGCCGTCGATCTGTCGTTGTACGAGATCTGCGTTGAAGAAGAGGAATAGGATGGGGGACAGGGGTGATCCCTGAGGCAGCCCCGCCTGTGGGAGACTTCGGGCCTCAGATGCTTGCCCATTGACAAGTACTGATTTGTATTCCTTAGCTAAGCAAGCCTAATAATACATTGTAGAGGTGGCAGCATGTCTACCTACATAGACCCTCCACCTTACGTCTCCTTCGATCCTTTTCCGCATCCTTCGCGGGGCACAGCCGGGTCCGCAAGTCAATACCAGTTTGCACCTTAAGCCTACTTCCATAGCCGCCCTAAAGACTCTATCCTCGATGGCCATCTTCGGAATCCTATTCTCTCAGTAGACCGACACGCGCGTCCGTCCTCTCGAGCCATATAGAAAGTGTCGTATCTGCAGTCCGCCCACCCAGCCTTCCGTCGCTTCCATTATATGCTGCGCCCCGCAGATTGTCAAATCCGTTTCGCGCTACCTTGCAAGATCTCTCTGGCAAGGCCGACCGTGTCTCGCAGGAGTTCGCCCAGTTGTATCCTCTCTGTACCCAGAACAGCCAAGCAACACAGTGTTGTCCCTCCTACTAACCAAAGTACCTCGTCGTTCTCTGTGTGGGTTCAAGCATGCTGGATCCTGCCATATCGTTCGTGTTTTGTTTTTGACTTCGTCGTTTCTGTGATCTTTGACCCAGCGATATCCTCCTTTCAACAGAGCAGCCCGAGAGCACCCCAAGGGTGTCCTATCCCACGACCCTAGTGTCCACTGATTGTAGGATCGGTTTCGCAGTCGTGTGTCGGGTGGTTTTCAAATTGTTCCCTTGTCGCCTGTGCGTGGGGTCAGGGGTCCTGACCCCTGAGCTCTCGCTCTAGCAGTAGCCCTAGCCAGCGGACAGTGCTGGCTGGTGTGACTCTTCTCAGCTCTGCTAATGCCATCGGGCAAGGCATTCGCAGGTTCCCAGCCGGCACCACGGGGAGGTGAGAGTCGTCGCCGGCCTCCAATATTTACAGTGACTGTTACTAGCCGTGCTGCGCAGCTTAACAGCGTTCCGCATCTTTCATTCCCCATTGGGCATCAATGTCCTTTCTGGGGCCCTAGAGGGTAGAGTCACCTCGTTTAACGGAGCTTACGATGATCAAACCCTTTATGTAGATCACTCACCATCACACAGGATGAATATCTAATTTGAGTTACCCACCAAGTCCATCGAGGTTGGTAGCAGGCGTTCACTGCTTAGCTTCGGATCAGAATACTAAAACGTTAGATTAACGTCACACCGTAAAATGAGTTGCCTTCCAACAGAGATTATACTACTCTTATTAGAAAGTTCCGATACTCAAATGCAGATATCGCTTCTACATGTATTGCCAGGACTTATTGGGGTGTTCACACCTCGACACATGAGTATTCAAGATGAGGGTTTCAATACAATTCTACATATACTTACAGCAAGAACTGAGGAAGACCTAACAGCTACTTTACTTGCAAAAAAAGGAATCTCGCCAGACCTGAAAAATAAGGAGGATCGAACACCGCTATCGCGAGCAGCTCAGTATAGAAACGTATATATGGCAAATGCTCTAGCAGAGCGGGTCGATGTGACAGCAGACTCAACAGATCATCACAATCGAACTCCGTTGTCATGGGCAGCGGCATGTGGGCATGACGAAATCGTAAGGCTGCTAGTAAAGCGAGATAATATCAAAGTAAACTCAAGAGACGATTACGGACAGATACCCTTGGTATATTCAGCCTTTCAAGGACAAGCAAGAGTAGCGAATCTGATACTAAAACAAAAAGATATTGAAGTCAACTCGATAGACAACAACGGCCGCACACCTTTGTCACGGGCTGCTGCGCGTGGGCACGAAGAAGTCGTTGAGTTGTTTCTGGAGCGAAGTGATGTCAAAGCGGACTCGAGAGATAACTACGGTCAAACCGCACTAGTGTACGCAGCTTTTCAAGGGGAGATGGGGGTCGTGGCTCTACTTGTGAAACGGAATGATATTGATGTTAACTCGATAGACGATAACGGCCGTACACCTTTGTCATGGGCCGTGGCTAATGGGCACAAAAAGATCGTGAGATTACTATCAGAGGGGAAAACTTATTTTTTGCCGGAAAATGCCTTCAAATATCGCTTTAACTAATTTAAATGTCATATAGGGCTGATTTCTACGTACTGTATCAAGTTTAGACTAAATTACAGAATACTGGTTTCATGACAAGTGATTTCTCCACGTCGCTTCACCCAAAGACCGAAGCTTAAAGGTCCTCACTATCTTCCTTGTTTGGTTAGTTGGCAATAGAAAGATGAGTTTTGGTATAATTGTTGGTGAATCAATCGAAAAGTGTCGATAGTCACACCCGTTTCCGGACGCCTCTATATCATATCGTAACGTAGTCAAATCCGGAACTCATGGAGGTAACAGCTATGTTAGGAAATAAATCAGGAGGGTTTATACCGTATATAAATGGTCAGATTTCCTATCTGAATAATAACAAGCAGTCTTCCTTTAAAACACAACATAATTGATGGCTCCTGATTTCACCGAAACATTCTGGGATCTCGCCACTTCTTGAACGTTCCATCATATCTAGTAGAATTCTGACGGCTTATCCTCGCCTCGTCAGCCCACGTCAAGATGATCTGCTCCTAGTAGTAATTCGAAAACCCCATTATGACCACGTAAAGTTGCGCATGACAGGGGGGTACGACCGTAATGATCTTTCGAGTTCGGATTTACGTCGTCTCGTTCCAGGAGTAGGCTCACCACCGTATCATGTCCACGCCAAGCTGCACATGCTAATGGCGTCCGGCCATAATGATCTCTCGAGTCCGCATTGATGTCGTCTCGCTCAAGTAGCAGCCTCACCACCGTATCATGTCCACGCCAAGCTGCACATGCTAATGGCGTCCGGCCATAATGATCTCTCGAGTCCGCATTGACGTCGTCTCGCTCAAGTAGCAGCCTCACCACCGTATCATGTCCACGCCAAGCTGCACATGCTAATGGCGTCCGGCCATAATGATCTCTCGAGTCCGCATTGACGTCGTCTCGCTCAAGTAGCAGCCTCACCACCGTATCATGTCCACGCCAAGCTGCACATGATAATGGTGTTCGTCCTTTCTTATTCTCCGGGTCCGCTTTGGTATGATTTCTCGCCAATAGTAGTTGTAATAGACCATCTTCACCCTGTTCTGCGAGCAATTGTACGATTGTGTTTCCATGTTCATCCTGAATAGCAAAGTGTCGGAATGTCAGTAAGCGGATAAGGTCAGGAAACGCACGAACAAGTGACAACTGGTCTCGAGGGATGAGACTCTTGGCTATGTGGAGAATGACCTCTATCGGAAGATAGATGCCGTCTTGTGACATTCTAGTAGTGAATATGAAAAAGAATGTACCAACTTGGTATGTTTAATCTCGTGAGATGGCAGCATGTTTAAAGATGTTCCCACATCACAGTACACTCCCATATGGCTCTTCACACATGGGTTCAAGATTAACCTGTAGGGCACGAATATTTTTTAAAAGAAGACCTGTTGTACAGTCACTACACCTAGCTGGTGTGTATGACATTTGAAGTCAAGTAGCAGCCAATTAAGTTTATGTCGTGTAGTTCAGCAGAGCCTATCTCACCATGAGTGTGGTTAAAACTCGATATCATAGGACAGAGTAAGTCGAAGGCTTTTGCTATCATGGGTTGGATGTGATTTGGCAGAAAGAATTTCAATAAAATAACGGGCAAATGGACCGGTTTCACCAGGATCTCGAGTCGTTTATGGAGGAAATCATTTCTCAACAACGTAAGCAGTAGCCTGTTTTAATAGGCATTCCCAACTTTACGGTGGCTTTCTGTCGTCATAAATTAATTCTGGAACACGACCCCAACAAATCTCACACTTCAGAAGTGGTAAATCGATATAAAGCCTATAGAATCTTCGTATGGCTCATAGGTCTTGTGATACACTATTTTCACCTTGAATAAACAAGCTCCGAGGAAGTCACCTTCTCCGAAGCGCGTGAAATTGTGAAAACTATAGCCCAGTTTCACTAGTTCTGCGGCACCTATCTCATATACCCTTTATCTATATATACGGAATAATCTATTAGTAACAACTAAACAATCCGGGAAAATTAACAGAAGTAGAAGCACCAATATAGGACTCAATTTCTTCCAGGGAAGAATTTATGGGCGTTTGAATGATCTATTGGAAAGAGGAAGGGACCTAAAGCGAAAAGAAATAGAGAATATTGAATGTCTTGCTTTCTTTTAAACTTTTCTATTGGCGGATTATGACGCGAGATCTTATAAATGAGACCGTATATCCGTAACGGCTTCTCACTGCAGTAAATACAGTATGATTCCAGCTACTTCAACAGATGCAATCGACCTCAGCTTTTATTACCGACTGATATAGGTCACAGATTCCATCCGTGGGCCTCCAATTCTCAGACTGTGTACCAGTAGCCTTGGATCAGAATGTGCAGCTTGTGCATGAAGCACCCTCCCTTATTCTGCCAGACGTTCAAACTCTCTATAAATCTGCCCTACCACTTGGGCGACTACAGAGAAAAAGAAATATCGCAATATCTGGAAGATATGAAGAATACAATGGCGATATTTTGCAGTCAGTGGACAGGGACTGAGGGAATACGGAGCTTTGTTTCCAGGGATATATTATTGTACAAAACTTCGCAGGGACGAACCCTGTAGTTGTTGGAATGCACCAAGGTCCGGATCAGTCGAGCAACCGGCTCGGTCCTATTATCTCTAGAACTAAGATCCTGGCTATTTTCCGCTACATTTATCTGTAATTGTTCAGTACAGAGACTTTTCCAAAGAGCGCCTTGATGTAATATAGGATATAAAACGCCGGAGTTGTCTAAAACTTTCCAAACACAGGGCGTTAGCACTGGCCCTAAATTATCTGTTGTGCCCAGTCAGAGACAGATATGAAACTAGTTCAAGGTGGCAATTTGGGAAAGGTTACACTGGCTTGAAGTTTACGACTCTCTATTGCCAAGCATGTCTTTTCATATATACTGGCTCCAATCCCGCCCGGGCTGGAAATGTGCTTCTTGAATCTCCATCATTAGTTCCCTATATCCTATTATTACCCCAATGAAATGTCTGACTGCAGAATGAGGCTTGGTTCTATTTTCCACCACAACGACACTCCATCATTTAATACACGATATAATAAAAGGCCAGATTACAGCCGCCCGTCGGGAGCTGTCGAATGTCAATCGCGAAAGCAGCTTTCCGCACCCCCGTCTGATCCTAGATCTATGTCTCACTATGCGTTGTCCAGCCCCGGGGCAACCACCTCTTAAAGGGCCGATAGTCTGGCGGTTAACGACATTGTGGATCTACAGCTTTATGTCCCTGAAAGTGTAAAAGAATTGTCCAGTGATCGCTTCATTATGGCATTCAAAATATCAACGCTCAGATAACCCAGCGACTGTTTACAGGCTTTGAAATTGAATTGATCGCAACTAATTTCGATGAAGCTACACAAGAAGGCAAGGCGCTACAAGCATTGGCAAAAAGAAACAGCTGAAAAGGTTTCCGTACGGATATGCCAAGAGACACGGCTGCTCAGCGACAGGACCTAGGCGCCGCGGCCGTGGGTTCGGGCAGACTGTCTATCACATCTAGACATTGACCTAGGACTATTGGAATGCGAGCTAGACTTAGAGTCTTATTTTCCGATATGACCTAAATCCAGGCAGAGGGGTCGGGGGTGGAGAGAGGAATATGGACAATTTTGTAGATCCATATTCTGCTCGTTCGCGGTTCAGGATCTACTTACCACATAAGATATATTCCTCCCAAATTCCTAATTGATAATCGACCAGCCCGTGCTGGTCAAAGTGATCACAAAGGTGAATCAAATTCGTTCCCAAAGCTTCCAACTGATCTCGACCGATGAGACTCGTATGCGCCGGTAAATGGCCCGTCGTAATCAGATCCTGGGACAGATCCTTCTGCTTTTGACACACAGCTAACCAGCAAAAATTGACGTCGTTCCAGAGTTATAATTGACCGTGATAGAGAAAGTAATTATCGCGCAGGATTTCTATATCAAAGTAACAGAAAATAATTAGGTTTTGTTTTAATACCTTTCCCTTTGTGGCACATATCGCATCACCTTTTCCGCTAGGCGTGTGAGACGATGCTTGTATAACGTGCACCTACAAGTGTAAAAAGGAAAGAAAAGAAATAAAAAAGCCCAAATAGACAGAGAGAGAGAAAATACAGCTCCCGGAGGTTTTTTTTCAAAAAAAAAGAAAACAGGGCCCAGGACGGAGTGCGATTGTGGTACAACCTCTCTCAACGCCCTGTGGAGCGGCAGCACCTATAATACATCCAGCAAGGTAAAGAACGAAAGATCATGAAAAAGGATTCGGTCATACCGAGATCCTGTGCGTTAATCACAAGCCATTCAGAAATTTCCAGCAGCGATCGGCTGGCTTCCACCAATCGTCCGGCGTACGTGTCGTCAAAGATGCTGCGCAGTGCTCGCCAGTACTGAGCATACGGCATGCTGGGGCTCGGAGGAACCTTCTGGCTGCTGCTGATGCTGATATCACTGACGATCAAATTGGCCAGTAGGGCCAATTATGGTGAAATCGGTCATGTTGGCGGGGAAGGGTTGCATATTAATCAGACGTGTCATGGGACCAGGTTGACTTCTGCTCAGGCTGCTCGGGGGCGAAATATTGTGGAATGGCAAACTGGTTCCACCAGGGGCTCAGTCGCTAGAGACTACCGTGATTCTAGGGCTAGAACTTGCTTACCGAATCCGTACAACATGGCGGACTTGTACGGCACGAATGGCGGTAGTGCATGACTTCGAGGTCAATCCATACCGAAGTGTTGCAGACGAAGACGAAAAGCGATCGATATCGTTTGTTCCATTAAAAAGGAATGCTTGAGACCCAATGTTCTGTTAGGGAAAGCTCGATAGAATTGCAGCCAGGCATTCTGCTTGCGTCGATGTGATGGTCTTCGTGAACTGTGAGCGCACAAACACAGATGACTCTTTCATTGCAGCTAGTTCAACATTTCATCATTGATTTAATGCAGCACTCGAAGGCATTGTAACTTTTCCTGATGATACAACATGTGAAATACTTCTCTCACCGTTGGTCTTGTTCAAACAGTCACAAAAATGCCGCAGAAACGCAGCGATGACGTTATCAACATTCATCACCATTTGTCCGTACTTTATTGTGATAGGTGGGGGGGACAACCTTCACTCACAGATAATGAGCGCCTTATTTACTCGAAAACACCCCATCAATCATAAACAACAACGTTCACTCCTAGCTACCTACTAGCCCAGACGTACAATTCTCTATCCTCAAGCAGATATAATCTATGATACAGCTTGGGATTGATTCGCACAGCCCACATCTCACCAAAGATTTCCTTGAATAGTGAGGGAATTATCATGTCGACTATGTTTTCATAGAACAATTGTTTCTGCCTTCAGCCTCGTTTTTGCGTAGTGCAATACACAGATCGATCTCCTGGGAGCCATGGCCAGATATTAACCAAACACCTCACTGAAGACTTGTGCGTTTGCGGGCCATCCGTGGCGCTGATTGGTTTGTAATCCATTGTAGAACCCACCTCCCGTGCTCACTCAGTTCCCAGTAGTCTATGGGTCGTAGATATTAATATGCCAAGGAAAAATTAGTTAAGCGGCGCCATGGATGTACCATACATACCGCCACGTAGCCTTAGAAGAAACTGTCAGTATGAGGAATTAATGTACTGGCTAGTACTGAACATATCCGATAGAATCAGATTATTGATTGATTGTTAAGATCGGTTGAACGATCTCAGGGTCTCTATATTCGAACTATGGCGTGTTATGACACCATACTAGGAGCAAATTGGGTGAACGATGAATAAGCCGGTCCCCAAGGGTCTTAGTTGTATTCGACCACTTCTTCAGTTCGTCACAAAGAATTGAAGAGAGTCAAGAGGTGAAACTGATTTCGAGCGCGTCTGTATCTCAGCCCAAAGGTCTTGAAGCATTTGCCAAAAACTTCTTCAATCTAATTACGGCTTTTATCAATTTTGTTGTTTGTCCATTATGTCCCAGCATTTTCAGGTGGCGTCGAGCCCGGAATCCACCAAAAATCTAGCACAGAGTCCCAATGAACGTGGGGAGGCAGGTAAGTTGAGCTCTTGCTTGCATTGTTTGATGCAGACAGCAGCGAAGTTAACCAGTGCAGAGCTAAGCCAGATGATACTGCGCCGGTCGCTAGTTACGACTAGAATGGTCATGGGAAGATTGTTGCCTTATTACTTTATGTACCTTTTTGCGATAAGATATATCAAAGAGCAAAGTGAGTTCGCAGGGGAAAGGAGGGAACGTATACGTACTCACCGATTCAAACCGCCGCAGAATCCTCTCAGGAGTGTATCTCCACCAATCTTGTGTACCCAAGGTGGGAGGAAAAACAGTGTGTCCTTGATTCAGAGAGCACAATTTCCGATCTGGATCATTCTATCAAGGAGCAGCTTCAGGCAGATGGTTGGATACTGGATCGACGTGGACAGGAAGCCTCATTGAGCCCATTTCCACCCGATATCGGCTCCGTGACCCTCGCACGTAGCTACATTACCACCCTCGAAAACTGGCTCCTGAGTAATGTGGAAGATCCAGAGGAGATCATCCCAATCGATGGAGATATAGACCCATAGGTTGTAGTGATCAGCGTTATACGTAGGGGCATACAGGATCCGGCTTCCGTGAATGCAAGATCAAAGCTGACAGCTAGATATGATCCCCTTGTTCTGATCTTGGCCGGCGTAGAGTACTCTGAAGACAACTTAGCCACAGCAAATGCCGCTATCCGTGAGGCTGCTGCTATATCTAACCCGGTGGCAGTCGCTGAGTTCTTCCATCACGTCTGTAAAGCCATCCTGGACGGCCTTTTCGCTACCAATACTGGCCGGATCGGTATCCTTGGCGACCTCTCGAACCATTTCGCTTTTGTCGAGACGAACGGTCGAGGCATGCTGCATCTCCACAGATTGGCATAGGCGAAGGGGAATCTGGCTTTCACTTCTTTACGGGCTCGGCTCCTTCAGGATAGCGACTTCGCGACCCGCATGATTCGCTACTTGGAGTCTATCATTATGCAAGGTATGGATGAGAGTATTCCGCACGACCCTGAAGTGAACCTTCCCAACATGCCACCGTCAGCTAAAGACCTCGAATCCGATGACGACTTTCATCTCCGACTCTCTCATGACAGTAATTGCGTCGCTCGTAGAACGCAAGTCCATTCTAACAAGTATCTCGCCACGTGCTTCAAGTACCGGCAAACAGGATCCAGAAAGAATGCTTGTCGATTCGGTATGCCTCGAGATCCCGTCCCTACCTCTACCATAGACGAGTTTGGACTGATTCACCTTGCTCGAAATCACGCCTGGATAAATCCATGGAACCCGGCCATCGCCAGTTGTGTCCGTTCTAACCAAGATATCTCTTGGATTCCGACGATCTCAAAGTCTTTGTCTCTGATCTACTACATCACAAACTACGCCACGAAGGATGATGTCTCTCCGTGGCAGATAGTAGCTAAGGCAGCTCTGTTGAAGCAATCTATTGAAAAGGCAAAGGTTGCTGAGCCACCAACAGCGACAGACCTACGACTTCGTGAAAAGGGCGTCAATAATTTTGCGCTACGCTGCTTTAATGCTCTGTCTCATGATCGAGAAATCAGTGGTGTACAGGTCGCTAGCAGCCTGCTTCAACTACCAACCCATTACACGATTAGTTACAACTTCGTCCGCATTAACCTCTGGTGGCTAAGGCGGTACATCCGGTCGATCATTCTCCCGGATAACCTCGAAAGTAGTCACCCTTCTGATCCTATAGCAGAAGAACCTTGCGCGTACGAGACTGGGGACACCGCCCCTGTGAGCATCTTCGACAATTATAAATGGCGTGGACCGCACCTCGCTCCTCTGGCGTTATTTGAATACTGCATGCTTGTAAAAACCAAGAATACACGTGATGCTATTGCGGACGACATAGACTTCGACCCGAACCACCCTAGATATACCACGCACGTACAGCGCCTGGCGCGCACCTTATCCCAGGTTGCGACCGTGAATTTCAACGGACAGCTAACTGAATTCCAGGCAGCGGAAGACGCGATTCCAGGAGGTCATCCAAGAACGGTCGCGGTCAAGAATGACATGGCCGAGATATTATTAGGGCTCTTTGTTCCCTGGCATCACTTAACTGACCTCTTCAGACGCTATGCGACGAAACGGGACGCCTGCCTACAAGTATGGGCGGCTGTTGAACCAACCCTCGTATTTCACAACCGAGGATTTGCAAGAAACATCGAGCTCTTACGTAAATCCAAGGAAGACTGCCAGGCCGATGCAAAAATGTGGAAGTCAGCAAACGGTGCCGCTGAATCATTTCGCCATGATGTTGACGACTTTGAACCCGTAAACTTCGCTTCTGATGAAGAAGGAGATGAATTCTTTCAGCTACAGGATGAGAATTTTAATGCGGAAACTTTGATCGCGGCCTACCACTCCATCAGCAAAGCATGGCATCGAGAGACTCTAGTCACTGGACGGCGGATTCCCCCTCTGCTTCGTGCGGTAGCTCAAACTCGAAGCTTAGCTCTACAAAGCATCCAGCCACTTGATATCTTACGCACTCCTGTGTACGCAACATCGGGACTAAGATTCATCCCACCGTCTACTTTACAGGCATGGGAATTTCGACTGAAAAGTTTCGTTACCCTTGATCAAGACGAAAGCGCTGATCGTCAGGTTGCGCAGACGAGCTCTGCACTTGACAATTTCGACGGTCATATTGAAGATGGTATCTTGCAGCCCTTGCTAGCTAGCTCCGATACGGTCCCTAATGTGGATGATCGCCAATCCCGGGTTGGTGACAACCCCACTGGCGCCTCTCTCATGTCCTTGGTCAGTGAAGTCATTCCTCTAAATCGGAAACAACGGATGATTGTGAGGAGGGTTCTATCTGAGGCGTTGGCCTGGGCGAACCATCCTTACGATTCGGCGTAGCGCAAACAGACTCTCCTTTATGTTGGTGGGGAAGGCGGCACGGGGAAAAGCCAGATCATCAAGGCCATTGAAGCCGCTATACGTCTTATCGGGTGGAGAGACGAGGTGATCCTCATGGCGCCAACGGGTGCCGCGGCCGATAATATCGGCGGCAATACGTACTATATAACCTTAGGGATCTCCATCGACCGCTCAAGACGAACGGCAATGAGTTCTCGGGTGAGACGGCTCTGGTCTCGCAAAACCATTATGTTCGTGGACGAAGTGAGCATGATGGATCTAACCATGATCAGCGTGATTGATAATCACTGCAAGATCACGAGATCCCTCGACAGATCCTCCACTGATCTTTTCGGTGGTCTCCCCGTCGTTATCTTTATAGGCGATTTTTTCCAATTTCCACCCGTTCGGGGGCCGGCATTATGGAAGGCACCAAGGCAAGGGTCCGGAGAGGATGAGAACGGTCGGATCCTCTGGCATCAGTTCAAACAAGTAATCATCTTGGATGAACAAATGAGACAGTCAGAAGATGCTCCGTTTCATGATCTCCTATCTCAAGCCCGGAAAGGAACTTTAACAGAAGCCGATCGAGCCTTTCTTAACAACAAAACCATCACGTCCCTGGTCAGCCCGCAGTTAGAAGATGCCACCGCTGTCGTGAAGTTAAACTCTCTGCGTCACCAGGTAAACCGCGTTCGATTAGAGCGATTCGCGCGGATCCGATTCCAAAGGGTCTATATATTTCCTGCGCTTCATACACGGACCAGATCCACTGGCCTGATCAACCTACGACTTCGTGTAGACGACTTGCTCCAGCAACCGGACCAAGGTACCAAGATCCCTTTCCCCGGACTCTTTCTGTACACCCCGAATATGCCCGCTGTTGTACTGACCAACATCTGTACTCCGCTTGGCCTGGTCAACGGCGCAGCAGGAATTGCTGTAGGAATCGTGATAGATCCGGCTGGTGGGTTGATCGTTCGCCAACCATTTTGAGCTCACCCGCTTGACACATCGGAACTAGCCGAATTCTTCGAAATCGACGAGCTCTATACCATATGCACTAAACCACCTGCCTATATTTTATTCAAACCGGACCGACTGAAACCTACTGGATTTCAAGACCTTGAACCTTCGGTCATACCAGTTTCTCCATTGGAACGATCCGTCACCCTGAAAGGTTATTCTGTCCGAAGGAAACAAGTCCCAATGTGCCCGGCTTTCTGCCTCACCGACTACAAAGTGCAAGGTTCGACACTTCTAGGTGCGATTCTCGACCTTAAAGATGACCCTACCATACGAGGACAAGATCGTCACAGGAAGTATTGCTCGATGTATGTGTAATTATCCCGACTTCGGTCCTCCAAAGAACTTCACCTCCTGCAGAAACTGGACATGAAAGACCTGCAATTCAAACCCGACCCGCTTTTGCTTGCTGAAATGCAAAGACTGCAAGAACTGGAGATAGAAACATCGTCAGGATGGGAAGCAGATAGTTAGGGAATAAAAGTCATAGCTCATTCTTACCAGATGAGAAAATAGATTTCGTTCACGCCTGCGTATCTATAGCAAACCCAATGACCGAGCGGCATCTGCTTTTCCTACTGATCTTCTCGGTCCCTCGGCACGCAAAACATTTTGTGTGTCTTCCAATCTGCCCTCTGGTGCTTGATACCGCAGTAAACTACTGCCTTGCATTGGGCACATCTCTTTATTCCCTCCGACTGACCACACACTTTGCAGTTCTTCGCTTCCGACCGCATTTCATCTAAAAGTTGCCGTCTCAGCCTGCCCACAATCCTATCCATACCATTCCTCGTCTGTGTTTCGCATTCTGATTTGCCGCAAAGAGAATGGACCCACACCGAAAGAAACGGATGCCCCGTATCTTGAATAATAGATATAGGCGTTTGCAAGATTTGCACCATGGCCGAACCGCAAGCACCACACTGGGGACTTGATGCTGCCTGACAAGCAACTTCATGCTCTTTAAGGATCGGCAATACTGCGCGCCCAAACAATACGGCGTAATCGGAGGCCCTCGGAATGACCATAGAATCGACTGGAACGAGATTACGGGGAAGATCATGAATATATGAAAGCTGGTTAAACGTGTTTTCACAGTTGAATTCAACCCGAACCGCGCATAAAGACATTGCTAGACGGTAGACTTCTGAATCATATCTCTTCTTTGCCTTGTTATTCCGGGACAGATATGGGGGGACAGACTTCATACCCCGCCTAACCACGGACGTCATCAGATTCTAAATATATAAGCTTTTCAGTCACTCCTCATGCACGTCCGCGACCAATCAAATGATTCTACGAACATACTTGGTCGATTCTAACCGTATTTTCTAACACTTCCATACTCAAAATTTTCATATCAATTTCCACTTGCTTCACTCCGTTTTAGGGCATCGGCGTGCGGAGCTTGCGAAGCGCGCGTCACCGGTGCTCACGCCAAGTCCAGCCTTGATTGGCTGAGTCAAGTGATGCAAGATAGTCCCCAAAACCTGATATGTTTAGCATATCGAACGCGTAAGTAAGCGCAATTGAACGCATAGATGAGAGCGTGACCTACCATGTGCTTGTTTATTACATATATCGAGTGTTACTGCGCGAATCCCTGGTGCATTATCATTGCTGCCATGTTGATATGCCCACTGTATAGGATTGCGGCCAACATCACCAAGTACTTGGAATACTCTCTCAAAGAGTATCCTGTAGGCTTCTGTTCTTTCGATGTTCATATAGGCATATACGTATGTGTTGATCTTGTCGGCATTTTGATTGTATGATGCGATTGTGAAGACATTCGTTTTACCATGAACCATCTTGAATGCAAGATCCATCTCGATATATTGTACCGCTTGAAAGAGCTTAGCCTGTTCATATGTACAGCAGATGATAAGGAACTGCTGGCGGTCCTCATCAAAGAAATAAACATCGCGAATCCATTGTTCCCAAGGGTTCCTTCTTTGATCAAACTCGTATTCTCGGAGGACACCTGCAAGATCAAGACCTTTGGGGTATAGAAGTAATTTCTGCTTCCGGATAAGTGCTGTAATACGATCCTCGCAATGTAGACTGTCGTGGAGCTCTCGGAGTGTCAGCTTATCATGTCTACGGAGTATTTGGGCAAGATGCGGTGAGATTATCAAGGAACGAGCGGTTAGGCGTAGAACATCATGTGCCGAAATAGCCTCAGTGATCTCCTTTGCGATATCACTTGGAAGCTTATCTGGTGGCGGGGGGAAATTCGAATGGCTACCACGGCCAACGATCAAAACATATGGAAAGCGATGCCATAAATGTGGTATATAAATGTCGAAAATAACTCCACAATCACGTTTCACGATATGCCCGTCTCCGCTTTGATGCAAGAAATCTATCAAAGGCATCAGATTATCAAATCGATCTCAGAAGTTTCGCATATGGCACTCCACTCACTGCAATATCGGCCAACCTTCCTCCGATTTGCAACAAAGCGACAGTTCTTATCTTGCCATGGTGATCGTGAATCAGCTGTATCAACCAGAACCTTGAGATATTCAGGTAAGATACTGTCACTGTGCCTCAGGGTTTGTACATAATGCCATCGCTCAGTGCTCTTAATATGAGGACATCCGATAAACCAATCCTGTTCATGAGTCCAGATACATGGCTGCTGATCAGGGCATGTGAGGACACCACTAGGGTGCGCGCATCGTGTTGTAGCTTTCCAGTTCCTTAAGAATGTGTGATAGTATCTAAACAATCGTGAGGCGCAAAAAATATGTTAGTTTGAGATGCTTTCCATATGTCAACGATATGTACTTACACTTCGGTGCGTCCCCTAAGCTCTTGTTGAACACCTAAACGAGATGGAGCTGCAGCCTTTTCCCGAAGCTCCTAGAATATCTCAGGATTGACTCGATCATATCGATCATTTAGAGTAATGATATCTGGATGTGTTGAATCGCAGTGATGAATTCCATGACACTTATATTGGCGATGCCATGCAAGCGCATCTGGATCTCTAGCATGAGTACAGAGAAGCTTCAAAGTAATCGAGCGAGGAGTGGAAGTCTTCTGAGTTGAGAACTGAATCTTTGATGTGATCTCAGCAAAGGCATGATGCGCAATATCTTTGTCAGTTTTAACCTGGTTCCATGGATCCTCCATATTGATATCTAATGGGCTCTTTGTAAGCTCAATTATGTGGAGGATACCATCTTTTGATACTGCCGGGTAATCAGGAATCGTAAGATGGCTTTCTGAAGCTGATGCTAGGACTTTATTCTTGCCATTTGAACTGATGACAAGGTCATCGCAAGCTTTCAAACCTAGATTAAATTCACGAGAGGGTCCTGGATCTCCCAATTCTGAACTCTGATCATCATCTTTTGGTTCCGGGCAGTCGTCATCTATCAATTTAGCATTGGATGCAGCCAATTCATGTTGAAGTTGATAGCCGGGTTCAGTCAACTCATGTTGAGGCTAATATAAAAATACTTTTAGCAGATGCTATACATATGCTAAAAATATGTAATAAATACCCCCGGAAGGCCATAAACAAATGAAATTAAATCATTCTGTGCAGTGGTATCGTCTTTTGTAGCACGATTGCGAGGAGATGGTTGTAATAGTACTCGCGAGTATAACGTCGGCATTGGCGGAAGTGCCAAATTGCCGTGTATATCGTTTTTGTCGTCCATCTTGAATGCTACAAAAGTAAACAATGGCAAATAGGGGTAAATAAATTAAACGACACTAGTCAATTTGCTTATTAATTACACTGGGTGCAGAGATTTTCAGCACCCACTGCTATTGCGATGGCGGTGGGTGCTGAAATTGAGTGGGGCGCTTACATTAAATTTTCAGCACCCAGTTTACTGCATGCCCGCGGATCAGAGAAATCAGAGATCAGCTCAAGGTATCACGTGATGATAAATGCTCCGAGCGCTCAAATACGTGCTCAGATCTACTCAGAGAGCAAAAGCGGCGCTCAGTGCGCACTAAAACGGAGAAGGAAAGCTAAGACCTTGCATCGGAAGCCCTATCTGTATGTTCACACACCGAATGGTAATGGGATGATATTAGACTCCATATTGGGGAGGCAGCTCCTTTCTCCAACAAAGTGAGAGCTAAAGATGTTTGGCTGGCATATGATGACGTCAGAGGCGTTCTGCGATGGTGGGTCTATCAGGATCTCCTACGTTATGGCTGAGACGCTGCCTCACATCGGTGATGCTACCACATGATTGGCGGAGCTGATATTTCCAGTCTCATAGATTGGGCGATCACTCGATCTAGTACAGCAAGTTACTTCTATCAACTGAAAGACCCCTGAAGGAGCAAGGCTTTGTTGTCTGCCTTTGAGTGGACAACACGGGACAACGTACACTGCCACATTTAGATGCAGCTCATCGTTGCTCACGGTTGAGTGCTGATGAAACCTGCCAAAACCGCCAAAAAGTGTCATGTGGCTGGTGGCTGGTCTAAGCGCAAGATCGACCGGTGTCAAGACCAGGTTGAGGGGCTTCGGATCCCCTCATAGGCTCTTCTCCTAGCCACGATCGCCGTAATTTGCAATGTAATCAATAAGTCTCAACCGAGTTGAACAAGCCCTACCTTTCCCCGTCCAAGCGGGCTGGACCCAGCTCGACTCATCAATTCTTGTGAAATGGGTGGGACCAGTGCACCGGCGATCCAATCACGAGATGCACAAGAGATCGGCTTGCGTATTTAGCATCAGCTGATTATTGCAGGAAATATTCTTATTGTCCTTGCATTAGCCCATTCGCATGGCATGGAAATCATGGGCCGCAGGGTGTGTGTGGCCACTGTGCTTTGGTGAATTCTTATTTCATCAATCACTGCTTCGTTCCCCGGCCCTGATTGGTGCCGGATACTATATCCAAAGGTGGCCAGCCTTTCTATAAGTTTGTTCTCATTCAGGGTTTTCATTGGTTCGAGTGCCCTCCAAGACCGAAAAAAAAAAAACAAATAAAACCTAACCCTCGCACTGTTGACTGTCTGGCTTTTCAAACACCCCCTGTCACGCCGAGCGAGTATACAACAAGTCACACAAGACAGCTAACAAAGGATTGAATGAATATTGCGGAGAGACAAAACCACGTATCCACCGCACTTTTATGTCAATCGATAGAATGGGCATGAAACGACCTCGTCTTGAAGCTGGAGAATTCGAGGGACGCCATTCAGATACTCCCGCGCCACAGTCAAATTACACAGTAAGTGGTTTTTGAATATTCAATCGAATTTCCACAGAAAACATGGATTCAAATTTGTTTGCTAGCTACACTCGAACTTGCTTCATCCGCATTTCGCAATCATTTATCTCGGCAGGCCTTGTGCGGAATCTCCGCCCTCGTATGCCGAAGCAACCGCCATGACCGGAAGCTATGGCCATACTGTTTTTACTAGACCTGATGTCACAGAGCAGTTCATGAATATAGTCCCACCAAGTCCACAGGCAATGCCATTTCTCGCAAGTAGGTGAAAGGAAGCCCGAGACAAGCGACTTAGAAATCACCGACTAACTTCAACGGCCATTAGGTCCAACTCAAGCACCACTGTTGCCATGGGGGATCCAGCCTAGTCCAGCATGGGTGGACAATGGCCAGGCAAGACCGGCAAAAATAATGTTTTTCAAATGGCAATCTAACCAGCATCGACGAAAGCGACAATGCCCCACGGCAAGAGACCATCTAAGCTCAAGCTCTTGCGCGTCACCTTCGGCACCGCTAGGCACTGTGCTACAGATTAGCGATAGAAAAATCTTGCGACAGTACTACAAGAGGGCATTTGAAGATTTCCAGCAGCTCAATTGTCGATCCATCGCCAAGTCATACATAAAACTGATTGAGCCACGAAAGCAGATCCACTTCCCATACAATGGACGCAGAGTCATTTCAGGTGTATCGCAGAAGACTGACCCTGAACTCACAAAGCCCGGTTGGTGGCCTGAAGGTGTGAAGCACAAGGAGCCGGATCATCTGCTCAAGCGAGGTAAGAGAAACAACGTTTCAACACAGAACGATTGACACTAATCATGGCAGACCGCCTCGAACTCCTAGTACATATACTCTGTGATCTTAAGGAGTGTCATGGAATCACCGCAGAGAAGCTTTGCGAAGCTGGACAAGATGTGCGACACCAAATTACTCCGCCTAACAAACTTGACATCCTCGATGAAATCTACTTTGTTCGCCAAATGGAGGAACGGTTTATTGACGGAAAAATCGGTGAGTCTCGGGTTCAAATTTTTGCATTCAGAAATAGGGACTAACAAGAGTAGATGCAAACACTTTGATTCAAGTGACTCATACTCGACTGCCGGAAAATTCTAGTCAAGAGAGCGAGGTGTCGTCGCGAGCTAAAGCCATCCCAGTTTTGGGGACCCCCCTTTGCGCCAGAAATGAGTCTTGACGTGGAGGGGACCAGTAGTTCACACCATCCGATCATGGAAGGGGCCCACCAACGAGCATCTTATCCTCATGGAATGCCACTGTGGTCCGCTAGCATTGACTCTAGTGGTCCCCGCAGTCCGTTCAACAGCATTTACAACACATGGTCTGTCAACATGGGCCATCTTGAAACATTTCAAGATGCTCAGACAGAACAGAAACCGTTGTTGTCAACTCCAAACTACATTCCAGGGTACTTTCCACAACAACTTGTCACTGTTGAGCGACCCAATACCGAATACTGGCCGAATATACCCCTCATGCCGGACCCATATCAGTTTGAATACTGATTGAAGCAAAGTGCAAAGGTGGAGGACAGTGTCTATCTTTTGTCTTATAGATTACTAATGGGTTTGATATGGCGATGGTCACGAGTCACGACTCTACCAACGCTGCCAGAGCTCTGTCATTCCAAAGACAAGTACATAGCGACACTACATCAGTAGAGCTGTTAACGATACGATATCGGCACTGTTTTCCCATATCGTCAATCGGCATGGTCAACTTCGAAGTCTGCCGATATCGCATCGGCAATCGCGATCGACAGTTTAAGAAATTGTCGATACGATATTGGCAAATTATATTATCGTCGGCGATATATCGCCACCGGTAATTGGACAATAAGAGAATACATCCTGGTCCTAGATATAGAAGACTTTGCTACAAAGAGAATGTTAGCTTAGATACTCATTAATTAGGGCAATCCGCTCCCGTTATGTAGTCCTACGTCGTGTTGTCGCCGTGCTATGTGGCTGGATATTTATATATTTTACGTTGCTCTGCCGTCATATCAACTAACTCTGTACTTGCAAAGTATATATCTAATCCTTTGTAAGTTGCTTCCATTCCTCTGCGCATACATACGTATATATACAGTCAACTCTCGCGGGCTGCACGCCGGTGAGGTGCACACATTTGTTAGCAGCACACTTTTCCCGTGCCCGGGCTATATTTGCCCCACTTTTACATGTAAAACTCTCGTGGGCTGCACCATTCATGGTCTGCACACTTTTTCTTTCCCCTTATCCTCGCTTACTCAGCATACCCGACCAATCATAATGCAGGATTCTACCTCGCTGCCTCTCCCTCCGCCCCTTCCGTCTGATCTTCGGTCGTGCTTTCAGCGAAGATATCCCATCCAAAACAATCAAATGCGACTATAACTGATGTTCAGAGAAAAGCCCTGCGTATCTTTGTATTTGATCTACTGTCTAAGCCTACCCAGAAAGCTTATGTAGTATGTTTCAAGAGAAATTCGGTGGAATAATTAATTGGATGCCAGAGGCATATCTTGATGAGATATATATATTTGGGCCAGGACCAGGGGCTCCATCTGATGTGGTGATTTTAAGATATTAATTAGATCTATCATTATGAGCTGCACATAGGAAGGGTTGTACTTCACACAGAGGATAATATAGCGTTAATTGAGGCTGTAAGCAATGCATTCGAGAAGCTTGAGGTAGATGGGATGAGATAAGATTCAAACCGAAATGGGAAAAGCTTCATGTATATCTTATATAATCATGACATAATACTCTCATGGGCTACACACATTGGGTGTGTGCAAGGGAAAACCTCTGCCCGGGAGGGCGTGCAGCCCACGAGAGTTGACTGTATTTAAGATATATTTAAGTACAACCCTTTCCTGTCGAACAACCAACTAAACTCAATTCATTCAAATGGACGTTTTCATGAGCCGAAGCTCGAGATATAAACTGGTGACAAAGTAGATGTTGATTTCTTCGCTTACGTAGATCATATTTAGTATAGACTGATAACATGTGTGGTGGTCCATCTGCTGCCAATGAATTCAATGCCCTCCTATTGTCAGACAGGTAATACAAAGGCGGTCCAAAAGTCTGAAGACACCGCGCTATTTTTTTAGCGCGATTTTCGCGTCACCCCCCACCCATCTTCTTCAACTACCCCCTACACCACCAATATGCGTCGGTTTGGCACTGAAATAAGTGGCAATCGAAGACCAGGGGGTGAGCTTTCATCTGAGGCCCGCGCAGCTATTATATACGCTCATGAATGTGGTGTATCGCCTACTAAAATGGCTGCTGAGTTCAACGTCGCACGCTCAACAATATACTCTACAATCAAACGATTCCGAGAGCACCAAACGCTCAAATCACTGCCTCGTTCAGGTGCCCCTAAAGTCTATAGGTATTCAACTATCAAATATACCTGTTTACTTGCACGCCGTGAGCCTTGGCTAAGCCTTAGTGAGCTGAGCGCCCGTATACCCAGTCATCCATCTCGATCAACAATCAAGCGATTCCTACGTTCAAAATTCCTCCAGCGCTATCGAGCAAGACGTTGTATCCCAATTTCGAGGGAGAACGCCCGCAAACGAGTCCAATTTTGCCGAAATTGGAGGACCGAACGCTACAATTCCCAACTACAAAGCTTCATATTTTCCGACGAATGCAGCGTTCAACGTATCCCTAATTTAAACGGCCAATATATTACCCGGCTTAGAGGAGAAGCTTACCGGCAGGGAATGGTACAAGTTAAGGTTCATGTGAAGGATATTTGTCAAATGGTTTGGGCTGGAATATGGCTTGGAGGGCGTACAAAACTTGTTGTTATGGAGCGTGACTTTTCAGAAGGACAGCGAGGTCACGGAGGTGGTTATACAACAAAATCCTACCTAAAAGCACTTGAAGAAGGATTTATTGAGCACTATGAACCTGGAACTATATTTCAGCAAGATAACGCTAAAATCCACCGCTCCTACGTTGCTCAGCGATGGTTTGAACGTCATGGTATACATGTTATGGAATGGCCGCCACGCTCACCAGATCTTAACCCTATTGAACCCGTGTGGCGTATGCTCAAACGTAAATTATATGAGCTGTATCCTAATCTACTACATTTTGGTACATCTGAGGCAGATTGGAAGCTATTTAGGGAGTGTATATCGGAGGCCTGGGATGTGCTAGATCAAAATAAAATTGATAGTATAATTAGATCGATGCCTCAGCGTGTAAGCGAGACTCGTAAGGCACGTGGCTACTATACTCGGTTTTAGCAATTGAGATTTTATCATATATTTTGTAATTGATTAATCTATATCGTAACTAATTTTGGTGCAATAATATTGCATATTGTATGCAATATATATATTTGAATGTAGAGTGGTCATATGGCAGAATTACCCGATTGGGCGGTGTCTTCAGACTTATGGCCCAAGATGGTATATACACGTACTGTAATCTAAGAGTCCATTTTACTACACCCATTTTTCGAACTAGCGCCTTGGCAGTGGGGCCCAAAATCAAGAAAAGAGTGTAAATTGGTGAAGCTGGTTTTGCAGCTCACTGTAACTCACCGTGGAAATTACGGCGGATTTGAATTATACAGCTCAGAGAATATTTCGATTTTCTATCGACTGTATCAATTGTGAGCACCTGGAAGACCCTGTAACCAAAGTGGGAAGCGCTGTATCCATTGCGAAAAATGTCGGGACGGGCCGCGATGCGAACCCCTGAACCCCCTGACCGCGACGATCACGAAGACCCACCACCGCGACTGTTGAGACCGAGACGCACCACCAGACCACCTAACAACTCTGCTCAAGAGCAGGAGAAATGCACTGAGCAGAGAGAGACGCGCTCCCAGCAGAGCAAGAGAACCCAAGACAAACCAGTAGCCCAACGTGACGCGGTAGCTTCGGACGACTCGACAGAGAGCGAGGACCTGAACACCGCCAAACTTGTGAAGGAGCTTGTCAAACTCAGGAGAGAGATCAGACAGCGAGATGATTTGCATAGAGAAGAAATCCAGAAAGTTCAAGAAGAATTTCAGAAAGAATTTCAGAAAGTCAAGGAAGAATTTGGTGCCGCACTCGCAGAAGTTCGCAACGAGTTACAGATCCTGACTGACAGACCCCCGACACCGCAATCGCACTGCGAATCATGTTCACAGAACAGCAACGACGAGATCCTCCGCGAAATTCATTTCCTGCGCAATGCCATCAGCCCTGCCGTTCCCACTGGCTCCCCGTCCTATGCGGATGTTGCCCGTACCCCTCCAACCAGTCAACCGAGCAACATACGAACTCTCTCATCGTCGAACACGACACCGACCACCTTCACTGACACGTTATATTGCACGATAGATACCTCGAAGATGGCAGACAATGAAAACGAGAGAATGTCCGCAGGCCGAGTCAGGGCGGCGGTGGAGACAGAGATCCGGACGATGGAAGGCCACATGCACTGGCGCTGTCGCGCTGTCACTGTGGACCCGAAGAACACTAACCGGATCAGAGTAGCTTGCCGAGACGAAGCTGAGCATCAGCTAGTCAAAAAGGCGGCGGAAGCAAAGATCGGCACAGGAGCCCGGGTGCTTCGTGACGAACTGTACCCGATCAAAGTTGACAGTGTCAACAAGGCCGCAGTCCTAGATGATAAAGATGAGATCCGAGCCGGTGTCGCGGCAGCCTTTAGCGAGGAGAACGAAGCTACCGTGGCCAAGATCGCATGGCTCAGCAGGAAAGAAAGTGCAAAGGCGTATGGGTCAATGGTTGTGTACCTAACCAAAGGCTCTGACGTACGGAGGATCTTGGCCGAAGGGTTCTTTCACGCTGGGGGAGAATCTGGCGTGACCAGCGCTTTTGAATATCGACCACGTCCGATGCAATGCTACAACTGCCAGGAGATTGGCCACAAGGCCTTCCAGTGCAGGAACGTCCAGAGGTGTGCAAAGTGCGCTATGGAGGGCCACCGCCACAGTAACTGCGCCCAAACGGTTCCAAAGTGCGTTCCATGCGGAGGCCCACATGAATCATACAGCAAAAATTGCCAGAAGCTCTATCCGTCACGTCATGAATAAAACACTCCGAATAATCCAACTGAATGTGAGGAAACAGGGAGCAGTGCATGACAGTTTAATGAACGACGAAGAAACTCAGGGGGCAGTGGCACTGGCGATTCAGGAACCCCAAGCGAGAAGAATTCAAGGCCGGCTGTTGACAACCCCGATGGGACATCACAAATGGACCAAGATGGTTCCCTCCACCTGGAGGGAGGGCGATGGGCGATCCGAAGCATGCTTTGGATCAATAAGGAAGTGGAAGCGGAGCAAGTGCCGATCGAGTCGCCGGATCTGACGGCGGCGGTCATCCGCCTCCCCGAGCGACTGATTTTTATGGCATCAGTTTACGTAGAGGGAGGGGATACTTCGGCGTTGGACGACGCATGCGAGCACCTAAGAAAAGCAATCACAAAGGCACGGCGAGATTCGGGGACTGTGGTGGAGGTCATGATTGTAGGGGACT